ACCAGCCACTAACTCAAGTACATACTCCCCAAAGCTAAATTTTATCCTCTTAAAAATTCCTCACCCACCCGCTACTATCATCGATTAGAGAAGATTACTAAAATAGGGAGAGAGCCGTCAATTAGAATCTGACATTGACAACAAATGACGAGCTCGATTAGAAGCTTTGATGATCTTAAACGAAATACAAAATTTTAGAATTAAAATTTATGGGGTAGAGAGGAAAATTTAAAATACAAATATTTTATGTTTTAATATACATAATTTAAAATATATGTATTTCAATTGAATTTAAATATATTTTTATTTTGTGCTAACGAACATAAATAATTCAATAGTTATTTTCTTTCGTTGAAAATAAAAAATTCTGAATTCGAATCGAATAACATACGAATAAAATGAAACAAAAGATGAAAGATGATTATCTCTCATTGTGTAATTAAGATAAAAAAGATATATATATATATACTTTTATTTTGTAAAAATAAATGGTGTATTTGATTTGGAGACTCCAAATTTAAAGACACTTTTTAAATTCACATTTTCAAACAGACAATAAAAATATTTAAATAATTTTATATACAATAATGGTCACTTTTCTAAAAAAAAAATAATAAAAAGAGAGGAACAATCTAAAGCTACGATATTAATATTGGACTGTTGAATTACTCAAAAAAAAATTTGTGGGCCGTTGAACGAGAACGTATAGGAACAACATGGGCCTGAGAGTTCACAGCCCAGCATCAATGTCACCTGGCAATCACGTGACATCCAACCTCTCCTTGAATTTTGACCAAGCAACAATCCTCTCTTTTCGTTGGCATACTGCAGAATCTGCGTTACACCTTTACACAGAGGAAGAACCCCATCAAATTTCCTCCGGAGAATTCCATGGCAGATCCAAAACCAGACCCAAAAGACCCTGTTTCAGGTGCACCCTCCTTCTTTCTTCTTTCTGTCTTTCTTTCTTTTTTTATTTCTAAATTTCTTGATATGTCTCAGTGTACCAATATGATCATGTTCTAGTCTCTTTTGTCCTTGTAACTTTTTGTGTCAATTTTAATTTTTAATAGCTTTGAATGAATTTGATTGTTATCCTGGATAATCATCATTAGCTATGAACAATGTTTTGCCTCTTCATTTTTTTTAGCTTGTTTCCGTTCCATTTCTTTGATTTTACCAGATCATTGAAGTCTCAATCTTGATGGTAGATACAAGTGAAATGTTTCAGATTTTGATCTATGAATAATGGGTTTTTAGTAAATTGTTGCTTCGATTCTTCTTTGATGGAAAGTCAGGATTTTTAGGTTTAAATTTTTTGTTGGGGATGGGTAGAAGGTGAAAATGTGAAACTTTTTCTCATGATAGACAAACGCTAACTTTAATAAATTTTTAGTATTTTAAAGTTTATTCTTGTTCTCTTTTTTCTTTTTTTTTTCCTTTTTTTCTTTTTTTTTTTCCTTTTTTTCTTTTTTTTGAACTGGTACAATTGGGGGATGGGGAATGGGATTGCTAAGGCTTGAACCTTGGACTTCTGGATGCCACCACTCTTCTCAAAGGAGTTGTGGCCATTGGGCCACAATGGTGGTTGGCAAGTTTATTCTTGTTCGCCCTATCACACCAAGTGGTTAAATAATTGACAATTTCATGTTTTTTCTCTACGTCTTTCTTTTTTGTTTTGATATGGAAGAGAAAGATGTCAAAGCCCCAAATGTAATTGAGAGGGAAAAGGAAGAGATTGAGGCAATATTTCAGCATGATAAAACACCACACCATCACAAAGAAACGCATGGAAGGAATGATGATATTGATGAGAATACTCCTATCGACGAGGTTAAAGGTCCTAATGTTTTTCAACGTGCCAAGGAAGAGGTCGAGGCCATTGTTGGAGCAATTCTTCCTAAGAAAGAATCAAAGGATCACTAGTGGTGCTTTATACTAAGAAGTGGGATGAGACTACCTTGAGAAGGTATAATTAGGAAACTTTGTTGGATAATGTTGTAGAAGCCAATTTTATGGCTTTGGATTTTTTGTTATCAAAGTTCTTTGGTATCTATGGTGCCATGAATTTGCCAATTTAGATGTTATGAAATATGTGCTGTTTATAATGAATTTGATTCTTCTCTTTGACAAGTGATCACTTTGCTTATTCTCTCTAGTTCTTGAACTGTTTGATTAATATGATGTCTGGGTTCTTCTTTTAAGGTTTCTCAGCAACATTGTTGCCAGGTGCCTGATGCTAAGTTTCACATTCCAGCTTCTTGTAAAAGGCAGAAATAGAACAGCTATATAAAAACTGACTACACCCATGTCGAAGTACATGCGGGAGGGCGAAACCATAGTGGCATACTAAGTGTTAGTATTAGTCACATATAGAAGACAGGGAAGGCAAGAATGGGATGGTAACTTATTTTTACCTTTCACCATTCTGTTATACGTGGCAAATGATTTTTGTTTCTATCATCAATCCTAATCTCGTGTAACTCTGGTAGCAGCAAGTGCATTTTCCACTTAGATTTTGCAGTTACAACTTTGAAGTCTGTCCTGACTCATGTTGCATATGTCTAAGGTAACTGAAGTTCATTGGCTCTATCTAAGAAATTAAGTTAGACTTGATATCACTAGACCAAGTTTAATGAAATGCTCAAATCTAATCATGTTGTTTATACCAAGTCTGAAATTTTTTCCTGGGATGTTGTTCCCTCTGCTGTCTTTTTTCATATCTCATTTGCTTAAAAGGCAGTATTAAGCAGTTAATGGTGTAGTTTTGTATAGAACATCCCCCTGGCCAAGATTGTAATAACTTTCTCAGAGCATTCTTCTCTTATGGAAAATTGCTTATCTGAAGCAATACCATCATGCTTGATAAACTGTTGAGATTATCATATGATCAGGGCTTTTCCTTTGGATCTCAAAATTTTAGTCTTGTGTAATTCAGTTCTTTGGCATGGTGTTAGTGGTGAAGAATGCATGTATTTCTCTTTCGTTGACGTTTTGAGGATGCAGAGAAATGACAACAGATCTTCAGGCATCTCCTTCACTATGAAGCATTTGAACTTCATACTCTTGTAAGATAGAGATAGTGTGATACCATTCAGTGAGATACCATTCCTTTATGCTTTAGTTTGGTGTTTGTAATGTCTTCCACTGACATGCATGTTCCGCCTCATGCTTGAATGAATTGGAAATGTGTGTTGACATCAATATGTAAATGGTTTTCAGATCAGGAAATGAAAATTTTATTTGTATTGCAGAAGTACTAAAAAGAAGATGTTGTAGTTTGTTTGCAACTATGGCATCTTCAGCTACTTATTAAAATCCATTTGAGAAAGCTACTCATGTTTTGAGTTTTATGATAAGAACTTGTTGGATAACAAATTTTTTTTAACAAGTCCAAATTTGGAAGAAGGGGATATGAAGGCAATACTTAAAGTTGGGGGTGTGGTTTCTGCGGAGCTTTATATATATATATCTTTATTTGATCTTAGTTGCATAATGAAAAGTATTTTTAATGAAGAAAATAATTATTGAATTATTTAATTCGTTGATGTGAACTTTTATAACTAATTGACTTTTTAGACAAAATGCGGATAACAAGTTGCTTTCAAGTCATTTAAATGTTTATATGCATTTAAAGTGCCGATAAGCTTTTAAAGTGCTAGGAAAGTGTGTTAATCTTCATGACCTATAAAGTTTACAAATTTTGTAGAAGATTAAGTAGCAAAAAGATTTATTTTTTCTTCGAGCATGATTCAAATAGGATGCTTTATTGGCTGTTCTGCATGGAAATTTGACTAATGGAAGAGTCTTTCCATGGCCAAAATGTTCTCCAGTACGAGCTGTCCTTGTTGCAGGTGCAGCAATAATCGAGGAATGCAGAAACAGAAACAGTGCTATATCACAAACTTTGTACGTGGAAGGGCATTATTGAATGATCAAATCACTCAGTCAGACACAAAGATCAAGGAGAAACAACCACCCCATATCTGGAGAAAAAGGGCGCTCAGGAATGAGGACCATGCCAGTGGTTATTACAACCAGTAAGCACACATCAACACATAATTTTGCCATCGGAATGTATTGATTAGGTAATCATGCCGCTAAAGAAATGAGATGTTAATAACAAACGAACAGATAAAAAAAAAAAAAAAACTTTTTGAGTAAAGATAATGGAATTGGAACCTCCCTCCATTACTCAAGTCTCTCTAAACTCGTTTTATAATTTCAATTTAAAACTCTTTTAACTCCTTTCATAGTTTAAATTCAAAAGTTTTAGTTTGAAATCTTTGAATTGCTTAAACACCTTTTATATTACGAAAGAAATTACATTACAAGGGATAGAACTCTCCCCCATTTAATTAAAAAGATGATTCTGTGTACCCATTACATCTCAAAATCTGCATACCCAAGACACTTAAAAAATTCAGTCAGGGACCACAAAAATTTCATATTTATTGCCATCTTGTCTGATTATCCAAACAAATGGTCCAGATTTGATCAACGTACACCTCACTGCATGCTACTCACCAACCAAACCTGTGCAAAAGTTGACCTCCTAGAACCCAATTTATTTTTATTAACTAACTCTATTAAAATTTCCTGCGCTCCTGAGTGCATCAGACATTGATGCTTTTTCAGTTTTCCTTCTACACATAAATAGGACTCTGCCACTGGATATCCTTCCTTCCCTTTATAGGAATGGACCCCATCAGAGAAAAAAAAGATGGCTCTGCAGTCAATGCAAAAGGCTAAGATTTGCTTCTGTCTTTTAGTATTTTTTTAGGGGGTTTTGGGACCCAGAAGAGGTAACCCACCCCCCTCCTCAGGGAATGCTAGAGCGAGATGCTGGCTTGTTTGGAAAGGAAACAGATTATTCATAGGGCTGTTGAGTTGAGCTGTCAAATGGGGAAGAAAGGAAAGGTAAACAAACCTGAATCCAGAATCACTTGCTTGTGAAGCAAAATCAGAAAAGCCTACATACCAATGCAAGAATAAAGAGAAACCCAAGAAACTTTTAGGGGCTTTCATATTGGGGGGAGTTTAAATTTTGTTAAGGGTTTGTTTGTTCCACCTTATATAATAGCTGCAGCCTGCAAGCCTGCAATGATAGGAAGAAGAGAACTTGAGTGGCTGTGAGAGTTTGAATTTCTCCATCTTTTGCTCTCTCACATTGGTTTGGTGTTATAATTAGTCGATCAATTCAACATCATCATTTTGAGGTTTTGAAGAAATGGAAGGAAGATTGCTTTGTTTCATGTTGGCTCTGCAAATTGTAAGCTGGGTATCTGCAACAAGCAGGCCTTTAGCACCACATAACAGTCCTGCAGCTGTTCATCAATCAGGTTAGCAACTTTCTCAATTTGCAATGATTATGTCTATTTAGCTTGGAGTTAGTTCTTCTTATCAAATTTTCTGACTATGCAAATCAAGTCCTTGTCCTTACTAAGACAACTTATGATTCAGTCACAGGCCAAATTCCAAAGTCTTTATCTTCACTAGTTTCCTTGGATCCAAATCTGAGCTTAAAAGAGGTTTCTTCCACTCCCTCGCTCTGTCTTTTCTGAGTATCTGTCATTGATATGGTAAAGAGGAGATGTTAATTTGTTTATTTGTTTGCAGAGTCCAAGAGAGGCTGCAATAAATAGTGAAGAAGCAATTGGCAGAGGAGGAAGCAGAATAGGGTCAAGCCCACCAAGCTGTGAGCACAAGTGCTATGGATGCACACCATGTGAAGCCATCCAGGTGCCTACCAACAGCAAGCACATCCATGTTGGTCTCCAATATACAAATTATGAACCTGAAGGCTGGAAATGCAAGTGTGGTCCTTCCTTTTACAGCCCATGAAACTACACTAGAGACCATTGGAACCATTGGATATATACAGCTCCAAAGGTTAACTAAGATGGTCATTACTCCAGCATCCCATTGTACCAAACTACATTCATATTAGCTTTAGGAACATCTTTGTTGGAAATTAATATTTGTGTTATTTGCACTTGTAATGTGAAGAAGCATATGATATCTTTTGGGACACCTCATGTTGAAAATTATTTATCAAAATAATGTTATGTAGTTTATATTGCATAGTTTAATCTATTAGATGGAAATGGATCTCCATATTAGAGATTGTCCTTTTTCATCAAATAATTCTTATTTTTCAATTTGGTACAATCTAGCCTTCAAAGCATAAGATTTATTGGATTGACACACCAACTAAAATAAGTATTTTCATTATTTAGTAATTGATAATATTATAATTTACAATTATGATGTAATATTATGATATGACATTAAATGAATAGATACATATATAATATGATGAGTACATTATATTAAGTTTTTAATACCACGTGACAATATAATTATAATATTTTCTTTGGGTAATTGAGAGGTATTTTCAAAATGACAAAATTGTCCCGAGAGGACCATCAACTTACAAATATATTGCTGAAAGCTCAACGGACTCTGAAACCTTCTTTGCATCAACAATGGCGAACTTCTTTTCTTCTCGCGTTAAGTCTCTGCTTCTCTTTCTTGTATTTTCCATTTCGTTCTATTATTCGATTTCGTTCCTAATGAGAGTGTGTACATCTGAATGTGAATCTGGAAAACGATGTTTGGTAACTCGGAAAATAGAATAAAGAGGAAGAGAAAGGGAAATTTCAACCCTCAATTTAGGCTAATTGAAAGGTTCCAGAAAGCATTTTCTTGGTCGGTTGATTCTGTGATATTTGAAAATTTCTCCTTTTTTTCGTCGGAATAAAGGAGAGTATGGGATTAGATGATTCTTCATTATCATTTTTGGTGCCATTCTGTTTGGATCTTAAACATATTTATGTTTTTATGTCATTGATCTGCATATAACATTAAGGTCACTAATGAATCTAGTAATTTGGTGATTGGTGTTTCATTTTGTTCATGTTTTTCAATTTGATCATAAAAATCTCATCTTAAATGTAATTTCCTTTGGCATATATCAAGAAAGAATCTGGTAGCATGTTATTTTGGATCCAGGGATGAAACCTACAATTCCATTTTGGCTTGACATGGTTTGATGTGAAGACAAGAGTATTAAAATAGAAATAAACTAGTTAAGTTAATTCAGCTGAATCAGCTCCATTATTACTAGAGTCATGCAGATTTTTTTTTTTTTTTGAAGTATTTAGATAGTAATGACTGAGATTAACTGCTCTCAGCTGACGACCGAGGTTGAAGACATGAAGAAAATTGTTATGATAGGATAATTAACATTGGTAGAATTGATGTAGAGAATTGGAACAGTGCTTGTAGCCTGCTGGTTTCTCATGTTTGTTTCGATAGTAACAGAACAATTTTGAAATTTAGTTAAGTTTGCTGTTTTCCATATTTTTTTCCCTGTGGAATTAGAAGAAGCAGGTAATTCTACTGATAAATAATCCTGTTTTCTTGTCTTTTTTATGTCTTCTAGGATTCATGTCCTGCGGTTAAGAACATCCTTCTTCTAGATTCTGAAGGGAAGCGTGTAGTGGTGAAGTATTACTCAGATGAATGGCCAACAAACAGTGCAAAGTTAGCATTTGAAAAATCTCTTTTCACAAAAACTCTGAAATCAAATGCTCGTGTAGAAGGTAGGTGCTCCATACAATTTTCTCTGTTCCTTGTGGGCAGGAGTGGTGGTGGTTGATGGAATTAACAAGGCTCGCATTGTTGATATGCTACTATATTGTCTTTTGCAGCAGAAATCACTATGTTTGATGACAACATTGTTATCTATAAGTTTGTCCAGGACCTGCACTTCTATGTTACTGGGGGTGACGAAGATAATGAACTCATATTGGCTTCAGTCCTCCAGGGATTCTTTGATGCGGTTGCTCTTCTCTTGAGGTAATTCTGTTCAACATGTACCTCTATCAATAATTTGATTTTGGCTTTTGCTTACTTTTTGCCCCCCCACCCCCACCCCCATTGTTCTAGGAATACTGTTGACAAAAGGGAGGCACTTGAGAACTTGGATCTCATCTATTTATGCCTTGATGAGATTGTTGATCAAGGGTATGTAAAATATTTTCCTAAATTATGAGCTACAGGTTTCTGTCTTCATGGTTTTCTTGTTTCTATTAACTTCCTTTTCTATTATTGTATTTGGAAATTGAATTGCAATGGTGTGTAAACAATATACAGGAGAATTCTCTCAACTGGAAAGATTATCATGTTTTTAATGTGGTAATACCGGCCCTTATAATCTAATTGGTTGGAAGATCTCATTAATCAATTTCTAGGAGTGTAAAAAAGAGAAAAAGTTTCATAGTGTTGCTTGGTTTCAATGTCATGCCACTTTGGCTTTTTAACGTATTTGGTGGATCCTCAAAGTCTCTACATTCTTATTTTCTTAAACTCCATTTGGAGAAACCCCATTCAGAATTGAATTTGTAGCTTTGTACCTTTCAGATTATCTGTAGTGTTTTATCTCCTTGCATTACTTGAAGTAAAGGTATTTTTCATTTTAGCTAAATTAACTAGATAGTGTTGCCTTATTATGAAGTTCATGTAAAATAGGGATTATGATTTCAGAAGTGCCTAAGAAAGACTAAGAACCAATAGCAACTGTAATATGTCCTCTATGAGGTGGTTTGCTCCTGAAAAAGAAATATTCTGAGTGTCTCTTGTTCTAGATGGTGGTACTGGTATGAAATGTATTTTTCTTTCCTATAATGTTGAATTTAATTAAAATGCATCATTGCCACTATGGTTGTAATGAAAAATCCAATTTATTTGCTTGACTCTTAGACAACAACCCCAATTCATGAAAACTGCAATGTATCTTATTCAGTTTATGTGTGAATAAAAAGAAAACTCTCGGTCGGTTATGGACATTTTCTCTCTCTCTCTCACTCTCCCTTGCTCACTTGCATACCAAAAAGGAAAAACATAATCTTTTTATTGAAATTTTGGTGTCAAGAATTCATTTATTTGCATAACCTAATGTACATTTATGTGTTTCTCAATTTGGCAGGATGATACTTGAAACAGATACCAGTGTTATTGCAGGAAAGGTAGCGATCCAAAGCCTGGATGCTGGGGCACCGTTGTCCGAGCAGGTGACATACTTCCTTCTCTGCATGACTCATTTAGAAGTATATAATTGTGTTCAAGCAAAAACTTTTGGTTTATTGCTAAACAAAGTTTATCCAATACTCTTTGTTTGGCCAATACTTAAAAGTTGCAATTAACATGAGATGATATTGATGGACACTAAGCCTACTAACTCCAACATTCCCTTGAACTCATTGGTAATGTAAGCTTTCATCCTTTTAAATCTTCATCTGATACAATAACATCTTTTCCAATACTGCAGACTATAAGCCAAGCATTGGCTACAGCACGAGAACACTTGGCAAGAACCCTCCTAAAATGATTTAGAATGAAGCAACAATCCATCTTTTAAGTCCCTTTTCCGTTTCCTTTGGCAAGTAGCAATCCTAACTTTCAATTCCCAGTTTCCTTGTGGGTGCCAAATGGACCCTAAAAAAAGTAAATAATCTTATGAGCAGCTTGAAGAATGAGCAACACGACGCCAAACAAACAATAAAAAACACAAAAATAATTTGAGAAAAGGAGTGGCAGGCAATGAACAAAACATAAATCACTTCTAAACAATTTCTAGCCACCAGAAAAAAAGAAGAAGAAACCACCATTTTTTTCCTTCTTTTACCTTTAAATAATCAATTTAAATGGAAGTGATATGTGGATGTTTGTTGGATGCTTACTTTGCTTAGCTTTCTTGCAATCTTAATAAAGTCATATGACTATGCTTCGCCTTTTTTTAGAGAAATTACTTCTAAATTCGTTAACC